GCCAAAGCTTTACAATCATCATATAAAGATCATTTATTTATTCATTCAAGAATAAATATACATGTATATCTAAAAGAATGTGATAAAGATAGAGGATGTATATATATATATATGTGTGTGTGTGTATAAGGGGTGGAAGTGGTAATGGTTTTATTGTCTTTCTTTTATCATTACACTTGAATAAGTTAACAAGATATAACGTCGTCATTGTCACTACCATCCCCCCTCCCCCAGGTATTAGCTATGTGCACTAAAATATTAAATTTTGCCATCTATAATCAAGCATCATCATGTATGTGTATAGTTGAAGACACTTAAACTAGTTGAACACATTCATAGACATACCTGTATGTATGTATAGGATATTTTATTTTCAATTTTTCTTATCTTAATCAACAGTTTTTTTTTTGCACAAAAAAGGGTCATCATTGAACGGTACTCACATAAATTTATTTTATTTATTTTATCAACTAACTGATAGAAAAAAAATTTCCCATTCATCAATTTGATTGTTATGATTATTACTATTAGTAGTAGTAGTAGTGGTACTAGTAAACCTATCATCATTGATCATATTTTTTCCTCCCATTTTCTCTTTTAATCTAAAACATATGAAATTAGGAGAGATATCTCCCCCCTCTCTCTCTCAGACAATCAAAATATAAAGAGACAGGAATTATTTTTTTATTTTATTTCCATAGAAAGCAACAGAAAAAATTTGTTCATTTTTTTCAGTTGTATATAAACTATCTCTTTAGATTATTCACTACTACTCCCCTCTCTCTCTCACCTGTGAAGAATATGCATAAAAAATCGTCATTCATGAATAGTCTACAAAAAAAAATTCCACCACCACCCCTTTCTTCACTTGTTTTTTTTTAAAAGATTTGATATGAATGAACAAACGCTTAAAATTCTTAATTTTGTCATTGTCTCAAAGATCTAATGTTCAATGTCTATGATAAAAATATTTTTTTAAAAAAACTGAAAAAACAAACAAGAACTGATCCAGATCTAGATGGTATGAGAATAATGATGATGATGGGTGTACCTTTGTTTATTTATGTAGACAGGTATTTATGCCTTATACATAATAAACCACAAATCTTTTCAATCTTATCACTAAAATTAAAGTATTTAGGTTATGTAAATAAATAAATATAGAAAAGTTTTTTTTTCATTTACAAATTGAACAACCACAGCACTACTCGTTTATAAAAATCTTTTCACGCTTCTATGTTTGTACACCATTCCTGGTAGATTAGTCTACCATGAATAGGGTGCACGCACTCACACACATTCACACACAGAAACAATAATCATAATAATAACAAAATAAAATTCAAATCATCACGTTTGTCTCTTTTTTTCAGATGATCTTCTGCCAAAATTCATGTATTATAACTTCGATATGCTTAGAATGTGTGTGTGTGTGTGTGTGCGTGTGTGTGTGTGTGTGTGTGTGTGTAAGTATAATTATGCCTATGTGACAGAGTTATATATATATATCGATTTTGGGTATTGAATGTTTGTGGTCTTTTCTATGGTTTATAATGCACCAATATATCGATGTGTTGTATACGTGTATATTCGAGGCCAAAAAAATTTAGGCGACGAACTAATCTACATCCCAATACAAACGCAACTGTTGTGTATAAATTTTTTTCTTACATTTGGGATTTTGATTTAATCAACAAAAAACCAAGGATAAAACAAAATGGTGGATAAAATCTATAAACCACCCCCCCCACAAAAAAATTTTTTCCTCATTAAATATAGTTAGAGAAGAAGAAAATTATAATTTAACGACGTCAACCATCATTATTATTATTGTTATAGTAGTAATAATGATTATTATTATCACGGTGTTGATGGATGCTTGTTTCTGTGATTAATTATCGTCGTCTGGTTAGTTTCGTCTCTTTTTTTTTTAAAAAAAATAAAACATTTTCAACTTGAATATTTTTGGAGAGGGGGGTTAAAAATATTAAGGAAAATTTTCTATTAATCTTTTTATCATCTATTTAATTAAGAAAAAGAAACCCCTGCTGTGTTTATATATATATATAATGGATAGGGGTGGTGGAGGGTAAGAATTAACAAAACACAAAAAAAACCTGTACCCCTTCAATGTTCAATTTTTGTTCATTCAATAAAGAAAATGATTAAATACTCTTAAGATTTCCTGTTTTTGCTTCTTATTAATATGACCCATTTTTAGTTTTTCATAGTAAAACAAATGATTACAATATGGAGTTAATAAGCATAATGAATACACATGTATACACGTGTGTTTTATATTTATATATTGTCATTTAATAATTATAAAGATAAATACGTCTGGTTTATAGTACAGTACAATAAACTACAGTAGTACATGTAAATAGAAAATAAGAATAGTATCAACATTTTTAATCTACATGATCTATAAATATGAAATCATGACAAAACTATATCATATCCTGCTGTTATCTTGTCGTCTTTCACACACACACACACACACACACTCTCTTATGATTCTACCCCTATAGGATCAAATCAAATTAATCTATTTTAAAATGAGATATCGGGAGACAGAGAGAGAGAAAGAGTGGGGGGGGGGAGAGAAAGAAGTAGCTTGTTTTTTTAGGAATCTTTTGGATTATCAGCCTACTTTATAATAGTAATAATAATAATAATATGCCTTGTGTATTTGGGGAAAAAAACGTGCATAACATATCATTTGTGACTTAAACGTATGAGTTCCGAATTGAACTAAGATCATGTTAATCCATCGTTTTTAATCTCTTTCTTCAATGTTCATTTATTTGTTGTTGTTGCTTTTTTTAAAACAAGAGACTGTATTCAAATTTGTTCATTTTACAAAAGATTTAAGTAATAAAAATGAGTATGTACATGCACGTATAATCCCAATTTTGTGTGTGTGGTATGTGTGTGTGTGTAGTTGTAGGCGTCTGGATATAATTGTCTATTTACAATGAACTTAATATTGTTGATCTTCTAGGAGAAAATGTTAATTAAAGCTGGAATTAGTCTTAACAAGGATTTTCTATATTCTTTTTAAAATAAATTATGATTTCAACTTTGAAAAATACTGAAATCTCCACAAACCCCCTTCTGATTATAATCATATGCTCACTAGTGACTGACTTCAAGATAGATGTCCTGGAGTTCTAGTGGGAATCAGTAACCAGTGGAGTTCAACCACGTCCGTTGTGAGATAACAACTCACTGAACACAATTAGTGAATGGTAGCTCATAATTCATGGATCAGTTGAAGTTAGACATTAACACCGTTGAATGGCAGCCAGCTCAGCGGTCTACTGGTTAAGGGCTCTGGCTCGACACTGGTAGGTCCTGGATTCGAATCTCACGAGTGCGGGATCGTGGATGCGCACTGCTGAGGAGTCCCATAATAGGACGAAACGGCCATCCAATGCTTCGAGGTTTTCCATGGTGGTCTAGCTTCAATTGGATCATGATTTCAACTTTGGAAAATATACATATTTATTACTTCAATACATATGTATTTTTGTGTGTTTATGCCTGTTACCCCTCGTCGAGGAGTATAGGCCGCACACCAGTATTCTCCATCCAACCTTGTCCTGGGTCTCAATATATGCTATTTATTCTATTCACCAAGTTGTAATTTATTTTCATTTCGTTAACTTATTGAAAGAATTAGGTTAGTATCAACGTCTACAATATTTAATATGGATCGTTTCAATGGTTTCAAATATTTTCCTATTTATTGAATGGATAAGTTTGTATAATAGAGTTCAATTTTTATTGAAGGTTTCATGTCATGGATTTAGAAGTATTTGAAACTATCTTCTATGAATATGTTAGTACGGTGCAACCTAACAGATGGTACTATATTATCCTGCACCCACTAAATGAACAGAACAAATATCAGAAACTCTTAGAAACGATATTCGTATTGAACACTAAAGACATAGTAGATAATCTAAGCCTACTAATACATTATATTTTACAATTATCTAAAGAAATGTTTTGCACAATTTTACTCTCAAACTCTGATACTAATGTGTTTTTAATAAGTCTATAGACAATGCATGTATCAAATATAAGAGGATTTAAATAATCGTCAGCTCATTCTATCAATGACCTTGGAATGACTGATTCAGGAGATTTCGTGTGTGTAACTTGTTTAAATCGCTAACTGATTTTATATTGGTAATTATTATAAACTAGAAACCAATGAGTAGCTATTTCATCCTAACATGAGACAACTGAACATAACTAGCGGAATTGTCGGTATACAGGTTAAGTGTCGGATAGTTTCATTGATAGAGATTCATCAGATCTAAGGATAAGACAAATATGATATTGACTACTATATAGTTCTTAATCAATACAACAGTATGATGTTATTGACTGGCATTGATTAATTTATTAGAAATGTGGTTCTTTCTCCATAACCTTCAATTAATCAGCACCAGCTTTATAATACAAAACATCATAGTAACCGCATATAGTATTTGAAGAAATAAGTCCAAAACAGCATTGATTTTACTCATAACTACAGTCAACATAAAGTATTCCTTGGATCAACGTACAGTTGATTAAACTGTAAACATTAATTAACTATAGCATTATTAGTAAGGATTTGAATTATCTAAATGTCTGTATATTGCAATGAATTGTTTATCAGTCATTGTTGGTGTATGTGTGTCCTGTATGTGTCCTGCATGGATTGCCTCAATCTAGTTATTACATCAAAACGTTTATTTTTATACAGTAGATGAATTGTGGTTATCAATAGAATCCAAGATGTTTCCAAGCTGAAAGTACTGGGTTCAAGTGCTAATATGAACATCAACACATTGAGATGTAGATGTATCCAACTATAATATCCGGAATAGGTCAAAACACGCTTATTATAGATTATACTTCTATCTATAAGCTAATAAATTAATCGACTCATTCAACAAAACAAGAATTGAATAGTGATAATTAGTTATTTCAGTATCACTTACCCCTTCGTTGCATATAAACAAAGAGTTCATCGAGAAATTCTTTTCTTTTTGGATCATCTGAAATAACGTATAACTGAAATAGGAAAAAAATGAAAATATCACATAATGAATAATAGAGAGTAATTAGCAAAATGATAAAGTACAGTAGAAATGCTCACATGAAATATCACATAGTGTCATAGATATTCTCTGCTCAAACAATTGTAAGCAAAGATGGATAGTGGTTAGCAGTGAAATCCAGGACGTGCGTTTCGTCCTACTTGAGACTCGTCAGCTGGATGTACCTGCATCTCAGAGTTGATGTTCATTCTGGGACTCGAACCCAGCATCATTCGCTTCAAACGCCATCGCGTTATCCACTCACCTACTGAGTCCTGATAGTCACTTGTTTATGCAATGGGGTGAAGTTTAAATTCACTTGATATTGTTTAGTTTAATCTTCCCATTAGTGTTTAGGACTGCAATTGTATAAATGAAGTTTTATTTAAACTTAATGATCATTCATACTATTGTTTTTACAAATTTCAACGCACAGTATGTACATATGCCAATAAGAGACTAACCAGTTGCAGTCCTAAGCATCAATGGGAAGATTCAAGCAAACAATACCAAGTGAATTTACTACTCTAACAAATCCCATACCAGGATGAAACAGCTTTATCACTGCCTCCTGATTTCCTGTAGTCATTCAACTGATCTTACTTCGTGAAAGGTAACTATGAAATAGAAAAGTTAATGGTACTAATACTTTTTTTCATGGTATACTAGTTTTTTTCTAATAGACTAAACCAACAAACAAATGCTTAGTAATGTGAATCTTTAAAGAACTTTGAGGCGACTTTAAAAGTTGTCTAAATAACTGTAAAATGCAAACCTTTATAATGTTTGATAAGTGAAAGGAACAGAAAGACCCTCTGAAATTATAGATCATGGTGATTAGGAATCATTTACAAAAAATATTTTAGATCAGAAGGGGTTTTGTGGAGATTTCGGTGTTTTCATGGTTGAAATCATTAGTCAATTGAAGCTAGACCACCAGGGAAAACCTGGAAGAACTGGATGACCGTTTCGTCCCACTGTGGGACTCCTCACAAGTGCGCGTCCACGATAACACCTCACGAGATTCCAACCAACAACCTATCAGTCTCGCGCCAAAGCAATTAACCGATAGACCATTGAGCCGGCCGACATTCAACGGTGTTAATGTCTAACTTCAACCATTCCACGAAATTGTGCGACTATCCACTAATGTCTTCAGTGAGTTAATATGTCACAACGGACCTGGTTGAACTCCATTGGTTACTGCTTCTCACTAGAACTCCAGTAAATACCTGATGGAGCCAGTCACTAGTGAGCATATGATTATAAGTTAATATCTAAATAATAACAGGATTATAGTCATCTATTAAATATATATTTCATCATCTAATCGACCTATACCTGATCTACCAATTAGATATCAGTTTTATTTCATTCCTATGAGTAATGATTACGTCATTTGGTTCATGAGTAAAATATATAAATTCATTCTTATTTAAATTTAGAAAAACTGAGGAGTCCCTTAAAAGGACGAAATGGCTGTCCAGTGCTTCCAGGTTTTCCATAGTGGTCTAGCTTCAATTGACTCATGATTTCAACTATGAAAATACTAAATTCTCCACAAAATCCCTTCTAATTTAACTAATCAACTGAATCTTTTAAACTTGGTTAAAATATAAAACATGATTTAAAACTAAGAAGCGACAATAGGATGATGAAAGGAATTAAATTTTGATGCAAGAAAAACGAAAGAAAAAGAGGAAAAATACAACAAAAGAGATGGAATTGAACACTGAATTCATCTGACAGCTCATCTGACTTAACTATCAGTGCAACTGGTAATCGAATCCTGTTTCTATTCTATATGCCAACCTCTTCCTAGTTTCATATCTGTAGTCTTTTGATTATTAATCCGTATATTTCTTATACTAAAAGAAAAGCTACTAAAAATGAAAACTTTATTAATAAAATTACTTATTTAATGTAATACTACTACTACTAGTACTGTAGTGAACAAGAACACTAGTTAGGGACAATCGAATGTATTGAAGCACAAATAACGGACTATCTCTGTTAATCATACAGCAAACAGTTAATTTGCAAAACAACAACCAATTGTTTCAATCTTCAATGTTTCTTCTGTGAATATCAATCCATCTTCTCTAATTTCATTGTTTGTGCATTCTCCTACCAATTGCGCTTCATTTCAGTTCTTTCCTTATCGGTCTTCTGCCAAAATACATTCTATGTCTAACCATCACCATATACTACTTATATGAATATAAGTAGACCACACCACACTACTAATACTACTACTACTACTACTACTACTACTACTACTACTAATAATAATAATAATAATAATAATAATAATAATAATAATAATAATAATTGTTATGATTACTATCAATGATAGTACTAGAAGGAGTAGCAGTAATTTTGATTAATTAATTAGGCGCCAAATCAAATAGTGATAGACAGATTTATTTAAAAATTACATTTAAGAATCTACTTAGGTGACTTAGTTTAATTTAAAAAATGTATAAATTTTAATTATAAAAAATGTTATAAGCAAATAGGTAAACCCGTAGAGTAATTTTTTTAAAAGAAAAAAGTAACCTATAAGTTTGATTAGTTACTAAGGTGGGTCTGTTGAAAAAAAATTTGGACAGTTTAAAACTAATTTCTATTCTGATCTGAGTTAAAGGGTAGTTGAATATCAGAGACCAGTATGTATATATACAAGTGTGTGTGTTGTTTCATCAAAAATATACAAAATTTCTACCAAAGTTATATGTCAGATAGGGTTTTTTTGTGGAGATTTAGTAATTTCATAGTTGAAAGCGTTAGTTAATTGAAGCTGGACCACCAGAGAAAACCTGGAAGCACTGGACGGCCGTTACGACTTCGATAGGTAAATTTCAGGAGTTCTAGTGAAAAGCAGTGACCAGTGGAGTTCAAACCAGGTCTGTTGTGAAATATAAACTTATTGAAGACAATAGGTGAATGGTTGCTCAAATTTTGGTGGATTGGTTGAAGTTAGACATTAACACTGTTGAATGCCGGTCGGCTCAATGGTCTGTCGGTTAAGTGCTCTGGCGTGAGACTGATAGTTCCTGGTTTGGAATCTCTTGAGGTGGTATCGTGGATGCGCACTGTTGAGGAGTCCCATAATAGGACGAAATGGTCGTTCAGTGATTCCAGGTTTTCCATGATGGTGTAGCTTCAATTGATTCATGATCTCAACTATATGACATTAATTAATATTATTTTAAAACAAACTTCGTATAGAACTGTCATTTTACTCTGTTTTTGGAACTTCAATTCTGTTTATCAATATATCATATACTGATAAAGAACACCTTTTCTTACAGTACTCAATACTCATAGATGTTGACTTGACAAAAAAGAGATGTATTGGATTATGATAAGAAAGAAGTAATTCTAAAGGTGAATGAGAATGGATCGTTTGTAAATTATGATGTAGTATATTAGTAGTATATGATTCATAACATCATCATCATCATCCTGTAATTAAAATCATTTCATTCATTCATTCAGTATAAATAATTTATATCAAGTATAAATGAAATATGATAATTCAATAGTATCATTTTTATAGCCCCCTGAGACTCAACTGTATCTATACTATAGATATATATATATATATATGGATTAAATTGTATCTTATAACTTATTGTCTCAAGGGGAATCGTCTCATAAACTTTTACTCTCTTTATAAAAAGAAAAGAAATACATTGAGTATACTTACATCTATCTAAGCTATCAACATAAGTTGATAGTATATAGTAAAGGATATGAATGGTAAACAGTTAAATGATCATTATCATAGTTATAAAATGCTTGAATAACTCTTTTATATATCAAGTTTACCTCGTATGTATATATGTGTATGTATTTAAGTATCTATGTAGTTTTAGTTAAATATTTTACGTGTACTTTTAATCAACCATTGTAATTTATTTTAAAAAAAAAGGTAATTAGATATACACATAGAGACAAACATACCCGCGGGTACGTATGCGGGTACGTACGCATGTGCGTACGCATAACATTCCAATATAAACACTTAAATGATCTAATTAATTATTTAAACTTTATCATAAATTTTTATGGTGAAATTATAATCTTACTAAACTGTATTAATTTAATTTTTTTTTTTTGAAAAAAAGCGGGATATAATTTTAAGGGTGGATGTATTACTGTAATATTAATTTGTATATGTAAGGATAGAGGGAGATAGAGAGAGGGGTGAGGGAGGAAAGAATGAGATAAATAATGTAGGAGGGAGAAAGGTAGTGGGGGGGAAGTAGAATATGATATATAATTACTAATTATAGAGTTCATTCTTTATTCAGGCTTATTATTTCAATTTATTGATATTCAATAAGTATGGTATTGTATGCTAACAGTTAAGTATATCTATACAAAATTGATGACTTTATGGTAAAACTTTAAAGCATTCAAACAGTCCATACATGAAAAAGAATGTGGAAGAAATGTATAACATTGTGACAATAATAATTTTGTTAAAGAAGTCAATCTTCTCAAAATTGACAGAGACATCAGAAAAAAAAGAAAAAAAGAAAGAGAGAAGAGACAGAGAAATGTACTTTTGATAAAATAAGTTGATGTATATATTCTTTACTTAGCTAGGCGTTCCTCTGGTACTATTGACAGTTCCACGCTACGGTGAAAGAAGTCGAACCCAGGATCTTCAGAACTTAAGGTGAATGCTTAATCATTAAAACTACTAAACTAACGTCCACTGATATAATTCTAACAATATTGTACAATTATCTTCCGAAAAAAAACAAAAAATAACAACTGTTTCACTCCTGATATGTCTAAACACTACCGGCAACGAATTTTCACTAAAACCTCAATACTCACTAGTTTTCAATTGAGCCCTAACTAAGATTAGTTTGTGAAATATAAAATCTACAACTTAAGCCAAAAAACTAGACAAAAGATCATTAAATGTATTAATGAATTGTTAGGTAAATAAGAAATATCATACTGAATTATATTAAATGCCAAGTTGATAGGTTAGATGTGACATTTTACGTATTACTTCAGATTGTTTTGTGGGGAGAGGACTCAATCAAAGTAGTCTTCGTTAAGAATTGGATTCTGTTCAGTATGGGGTTGTAGAGATTGATGAGTTTTTGATTGACATCATGAATTAATCAATGTAAGACCACTACTGAAGACCTGGAAGAACTGGACGGACATTTCGTCCTAGTATGAAACACCTCAGCACTGTTCATCCACTATCCCGCATGCAGGAACCGAACCCAGGATATTAACATTGTTGGGTGCCGGCTCAGTGATCTAGAGGTTAGGCGGTTGCGCAGAAGACCGAAAGTCCTTAGTTCGAATCCTGCGCGTGGGATTGTGGACGCGCAGTCCTGAGGTGTCTCGTACTAGGACGAAACGGCCGTCCAGTGCTTCCAGTTTTTCAATGGTGGTCTAACATTGATCGATTCATGGTCTCAATCAAAAGCTATTGTCGTTTAAGTAATTTTACACTTCTTAACAATATTTACTCCAAGTTATTCATTCCATCTTTACAAAGGGTACTAAATAAATCAGAATTCAATGGTCAATAAGTATTCAACGTTAATCATTATGTAATTAAATACAATGGCCATCCTATAGCAGTTTGTTAAGAACAATCATGTTCAAGTAAGCTACTTTGATGTGAAAGTTTACTTTAAATATTGAGATGATCCAGTCGAGTTTCTTTACTAAAACATCTGTTCCTTTAGCTACTGTGACGGCAAACAAGTCGGTTAGAGAACATTAAGAGGTTTAAGAACGAATTCCTACGTCTGAATTTAATAAGGTGAAATGGGAATAGAGTATTTCCTCTAAACAACCAGAATCTGGAGAGATGTTGTATTCTCACAATGGAAGGAGGTGTTGAACAGCTTTTTTCCTAGATATGATACACCTCATTCTAACCCACGGATCCTCGTCTTCGTTAATAAGTCCATTAAAGTATGTATTGAACACACAAAATAGTACTCACAAAAAGATACAATGTGATTAAGTAGCACTCGGACTCTAAGTTCATGCCGCCAGGTTTCCAAGACCACTCCTAATCTAGTTTTATTTTTGGATTTCTGAAATAACTTTCCATGGTACGGTCCACTGAGAGGTAAAAACAACTTTCGAGAATACCTTGTTTGTAATAAAATTCCTTTATCATTTCTTAATAATCTCCCTATTATTGATGAGTATATAATAAGGAAAAACGAAACGCACATTCTTTCAAAGTAAAGTAACCCATTTAGCCCGCTCTTGTAATCACAATTCTATTAACTTACTTGTTTAAACTGTTCTTCAAATGTCCATTGATGATTATTTCCATGAGTTGAAGAATTATCCATTTCTTCCCCTTCTATTTCTTCTTCAACTTCATCACTATCCATTTCATCATTCTCTTCATCAACATCATCCATTGATGACAAATAAGTTAAATTATTTGATGAAACTAAACGATTATTCAACAGCTGATGTGGACTATTCGACCTCGATGAAAGTTGGGGTGGTGGTGATGTAGATGCATAATTACCTTTACTATTAGTAATTGTATTATAATTGTCATTGTTTGAATGAATCGAATGAATTGGAGGTGAAGAATTACAACCTAATGATGATAGACTATTACCATTATTATGTTGGTGGTGATGATGAGAGTGAGAATGATGAGTATCGTTGACTTTTGAATTTCTGTTCGGTGTTGAATTTAAAAATGCCAGTTGTTGTTGTTGTTGCTGTTTTGTCATGTGTAAACGTTGAGTATATGCCGACGATGACGATGATGATGAAGGTAGTACAGGAGGTTGTAATGTTAGTGGCGGTGGTAGATGTGGATGCAATGGAGTTGGTGGTGGTGATAATTGAGATATTCCATAAGATTTAGACAATAATGAATAATTTAATTGACTTAATTGATTACATGATGTTGGAAAACAACCAGTGGTTAACGCAGCCATTGCGGCAGCAGCTAACATTGGTGATATACAATTACTTAAACTATCTGAAGTCAATGTCGGAAATGATGTTGAATAATGATGGTTAGTTTGTTGATCAATTAAATAGGAATTATCATTGTCACCATCATTATCATCGTCATCATCATCAGCATCATCATCGTTATTATCAGCATTAGTAATATTCCGATCTACATGATTAACACCGTCAACATCGTCTACATCACCATTAGCATTACCACCATCGATACAATCATTTTTATATTCAACACCTTCTCTCTCCTCTTCTTCATCCTCATCATGCTTTTTCTCTTCTACATCTAAGTCTTTGCCTAATGGTTGCCTTTTTTGACATTCTTCATCATAATTCATTTCCTGATCTGATGATATACAATATGATGATATATTGGATTTATTCGACTGACGTCGGTTCTGTTGATGACCGTATCTTGATAATTTAACATGATATGAATTATCTTCAGTTGGCTGGATATTTATAGAGTTGAAAGAAGAAAAATAAATGAAAAAATTATAAAAAAAATTGGAAAATAGGCTAGATATTTGATACGAGATTTGAAGTTGCTCACCTCAATCTCTGATAAAGTCGTGGGTGTGTACTTCTGAGGAGTCATATACAAAGACGAAACATCTGAGAAACTATCTAGTTCAATAATATTTAGATAGTTACCCTAACAAATAGTTACCATTTAAATGTTTTAGGCTGTTAGATCATAGACAGAATAAAATTAAAGTATAAATATGTAACATTCCAGTATCTTGATATGTGGTTAGGAGGGTAGTTCAGGATATGTGTTCCATCCTATTGTCAGAGCAGTTAGCTAGATATTGATTATTCAAACGAAGTGCTTTACGTTTCGAATGACCAACAAGTTATCTAGAAAGTTACCAAGTCCGGTTCTGGATAAAAAACAACAGGAAATCATAAACTTTTACTGACAAATATACAAACTCCGCCTGTAGCTCTTCTAGAGTTACTGCCGGTCCCAAACCCGGGTAAAGGAGGAGGATTGGGCATGGGGTTAACGACCCCATCCCGTAGAAAAACTAACTAACTAAAAAAAACGCTAGCCAGAAAAAATAATTAAAAGCATTTAAACTCTTCCAGCTGAAGAGACGTTGGAAGTGGATAGGACATACATTAAGGAAATCACCAAACTGCATCATGAGGCAAATCCTAACTTGGAATCCTGGAGGGAAGCGGAAAAAAAGGAGGCCAAAAAACATATGACGTCGAGAAATAGAAACAGATATGAAAAGGATGAATGTTAACTGGAAAGAACTGGAAAGGATTGCACAGGACAAGGTTGGATGGAGAATGCTGGTGTGCGGCCTATTCTCCTCCACGAGGGGTAACAGGCTTAAGTAGGTAAGATAAATATACAATACTCAGTATTAAGAAGTAGGGTAAGAAGTAAAATAATTAGGGTAATGCAATGAATCATAGTAAATAAGTAAGAATTCATCATTATCATCAATGAAGTTTTCAAGGTTTATAAGTCATCTTTTACTGAAGAATAAAAGTATGGTCTAATACTATACTCAAGATATAGAAACATACAGGGAATGAAAAGTTAAGAAAATGCATATAAAAAAATTGTCCATTAAAGTTTTACTTATTACAATGTCACCTCTCATGATAACCACCTTACAGAAGTTATTCCTTATTGAAAGACTTCATAAAATCTACTTGTCTTCTTACCATTTTCATGAATAGTCTGTCATTCTTACGGTCCTTTTTTCTGAAGTACATTTATAATTCTTTAAAGTCGGGCCAAAAGTAAGGAGATAAGAAGCACTCAGTGACATGTTAAGGATTCGTGATGGATATCTTATAAGCACCAGGGGAAAAATCAATTTTTTTTTATTTGAGGAGTTCCTAATATGTCGTTTAACATCTTACAATTTTCAGATAACTTTACTAATTTCTAGTATATTTGATATGAGTCCAACAGTGGAATACGATAAGCGAGTTTTGTTCTGGTACTGGACATGAACATCAATACTAAGATCCTGATACATCCAGCTGTCGATTCTCAGATAGGATGAAGCTCCATTGTCCTGAGCTTCACAGTTATCAATAAACCAAATAAATTAAGTACTTGTAAATAAAGGTATTATCGAGGTAATCTGCTCAGGATGCATATATGCTAGCAGACACTGATCACTTACAATTCTTGACATCACTAAGGGGAAAATCAAAATCCTTAAAATAAAAATACAAATTTCTGTATTAAACATTGAAACTGGCAGTAAACAATAAGTTAACCAGTAGGAATTACTTACTAATTTCTCGAGTGACATGTATGATATATTTTCATAGTTGAAATCATTAGTTAATTGAAGCTAGAGCATCATGGAAAAACTGGAAGCACTGGACAGTTGTTTCGTCCTATTGTGAGAGTCCTCAGAAGTGCGTATCGACGATCCCGCCTCGCAAGATTCAAACTCACAACCTATCGTGAGCACTTAACCTCTAGACGACTGAGACGACCGGCATCCAACGGTGTTAATATCTAACTTCAATCATTCCACGAAATTGAACAATTATTCACCAATGTCTTCAGTGAGTTCTCATCTCTCAACAGACGTGGTTGAACTCCAGTGATCACTGCTTCTCACTAGAAATTCAAGAAATACCTTATGGAGCCAGTCACTAGTGAGTATATGATCATTATCAGAAGGGGGATTTGTGATGATGAGTCAATTGAAGCTAGACCATCATGGAAAACCTGGAAGAACTGGACGACCGTTTCATCCTATTGTGAGACTCCTCAGCAGTGAGCGTCTATAAGATTCGAACCCGAGGCCTGGTGGTCTAGTTTCAATTGACTCATGATCTCAACTATATAAAATTACTAAAATCTCCACAAAACCCCCCTCTTTTAATTCTACTAACCAACAAATTACATATAGATATTTATACCCCCAAATTTATGCCCCCAAATGTCCTGGTACGACCGAGAGGGGGTGAGTCCGCTCTCTCTCTCCAAATGCTATCACATGGCCACGCATATATAGCCTCTGACAGGGAAGTCCTACTCACTGCTTTTTCATAGCATCACTGTTGTTTACGAAATTGAGAGGACGAAAAGCGAATGTCCGGCGTTTTAATCGGATTGGTGGACACGGAAAATCTACCTATGGAAGTTGGAAAACCCTGATTCCAAACCAATGGTGCACATGGGCTCCAGTATCCTGAGGGAACAAATATCGTATGAATCAGTCATTGGTCACCGCCTACCATGAGACTGCATCTCCTCACGATGTTCTACTGCCTTGTGGATCAGACATTTAGGTCAAAGGCTCCGAGTGTGGCCACCTAAATAAATCACCTTCTTCGTTTTGGGCACCTGGACAGTATCATAGCCCTCATTTAAATCAAATGAGAATTATGAGGCGCATATATATCTGGTGCCCCTTTATACTACTATTTATGTGTTTAAATAAATTAAATTAAAAGATATTTATACTACTGTAAAATCTACAATACTACTGAAACAGTTGTCCTGTCCATCCTAGTTCTTCGTTTGTTTTTTTTTAGGTCACCAATCTGTAGATGATGGAAACTACATTTTAGATTTATCAAATTTTCATAAAATTAATTAATTAAAACATCTTTGAAATTTATTTAATCTCTTTTTTTTTGAGGTTTAACATTTAAATTATTGAAATTTGAACACTATAATTTTCCATATAGTTATCATTATCGTTGTCATGACCATCTATGTCTATAATCATTGTTACTCTAGTTGTGTGTATATTTTGTCCTTAGATGACATTTATAGAACAGTTGTTGTGTTAGAATTCATCTTACCACAACGTCATTGAATACATAGACAAGTATTTATAGTCCGGATACACTTTTTTTTTTTTAACTATTAATATCACATACAGGCTCTGTTGTTCATATTTCATAAAACATATGCATGAAATAATCACCTAGATGAGGTGAATGAATCTCGTATATTCATAATCATATTAGCACTATCATAGGAGTTATAGATTAACCGCATGAAATAGGAAATATATATGAATTTCGTAAGAAATGACCGAAAATGCAACCAAAAAAAGAAGCAATTTCATGGTGGTTTATGTTGTTTTAATCCCCCTTTCCAATATGTATCTTAGATTGTTATTACTTACTATCCACTATTAATAAACATATTACAGTTGTCATATTTAAATTTCTGAATAGTGAACTTCTTCTAACACAGTTTAATTTTGTCCATGATGTTTGATTATTAGTAAAACAAATGATATGACCTTAAATTGAAACACAGTCTTGTTTGTCATTTCAACTATGGCTCTCTTTCTCTCTCTCTCTTTCGTTCACTCTTTCTTTTTCTCTTTATTACACAAATACATAATAATCATTTAGATTTAGTTATCGTCATTATTAGAACAACTGAACTAATCAACGATACTTCTTTTCTCCACCATTTCAATGGTATTTTTTAATAGATAGAATAGAAATTAATTGTTCATGTAGGTGAAGAAAATTGTACGTGTCCCTTCGTATTGTATATACACTTTCGTATGTAATCGACATTGTTAATGTGTATTAACCACTTTACTAATTTAGGGTAATTGAATGTCTGTATACAAGTATACATATACTTATCAAATAGATGTGTATAGTATGGCAGATCAACACTATTATCCCACTGATATGTATATTATAATATAAGTATGACAGGCAATGTATAATGGATTATATACAAACACAGTTGAATGCCTTTAAGAATGTTATAAATACGTAAAAGATAAGCCTATATAGATTAACAAACATGTATGCATGTATAAAGTCTTATAAACTTATAAAATTTTAAATACTATGGTATAATATTAATGTCATACATGCATCCTCCTGTAGCTCTAGAGTTACTACCGGTCCCAAACCCGGGGTAAAGGAGAAGGGTTGGGCATGGGGTTAGCGACCCCATCCCGTAGAAAAACTAACTCGCTAAAACAAAAACGCTAACCAGAAAAAAATAAACAATGATTGTGAATATAATTGGAAGTTTAAATTCAATTAGATTCATGTACATCCAGCAGTTGACGAGTCCAAAAATAGGACGAAACACTCGTCAAACTGGATTCCACTACTAGCCACTATCCATATTTGCTTATAATTGGAAGTTTTCTATTTAATTAACTAATAGTTTTATCTAACACAACTTGACTAACTTCAAGATGATGAATTTTATGAAGTGTTTTAGTTAGTTAGTAACAAGTAGTGAAATGTAATCAAATGGGAAATAAGATAATCACTCACTAATGGCATAGGTTAAGGATAGGGATGTATCATGAGCTGGATTATTGGGTTATTTATGTATTATAATTAGTGGAGAAAAACAAAGATTCTTGCTTGAAGTTATGACTGTGTTGATTGTTAAGATGTCTGAGACTAGAAGGAATTAGCTGTATAATGTTTTATTAGTTAACATCATAGAACTAGTAGAAAG